GAGGATGGGTCCGTCCGTCCCCGTCCCCCCCCAACCGGGGGCTCCCTCCCCTCGTTGCCCCACGCCGCGGGCGTGGAAACGGCGCTTCCCCTTCGCACACCCCGAGATTTCCCGTGGCTGTAATTCTGCGTTCCTTTGGAAATACAGTTGCCTCGACCTGTCTCCCCCCCACTCCCACCCGCCCGTTTGCTTACTTTTTGGGGGAGACAAACATGTTTTTATTAATGGTGCGACTGCCGGGAACCGGTCACTTGTGCGCGGCATTTCGCGTGTGGGTCCATGCAGGTACTTCTGGCTCATCAAAGCCATGGGAGATGCGGCGTGCGGAAGGGGTACACTTCGGCGATTAGAAGTTGTTGTTATCACTGCACAGCAGAAGGTGCGAGATGCACCCTGGATTTTTTTTTTTTTATTTTTATTTTTTCCCCCCTCAGAGAACTGGTAAGAAAAGTCTGCGGAGGGTCTCCGCTTTTTGTTTATTATCCAGAACCCTTCGATGGAGGCTTTTACCCATCAATCAGCATATGTCACAACGTTATAAAGAGTAGTAGGGGTTTGGCTGGGCGGTAAATAGAGCAAGGACAAGCCCGCTAGGGCCCCCTGATGAAGAGTTGTGCTGCTCTTGTTTGAGCTGTCTTGACTTCTGCCGATCCGTAACAGAGGGCTGCCCAGCCCAAAGCGGGACGCCTTCTTGTTACTGAAAGCTCCTTGGACCAGTGGGACTAAGAGCAGTTGTAATTTCCTCCAGTAGGGGTTTGGCTGGGCGGTAAATAGAGCAAGGACAAGCCCGCTAGGGCCCCCTGATGAAGAGTTGTGCTGCTCTTGTTTGAGCTGTCTTGACTTCTGCCGATCCGTAACAGAGGGCTGCCCAGCCCAAAGCGGGACGCCTTCTTGTTACTGAAAGCTCCTTGGACCAGTGGGACTAAGAGCAGTTGTAATTTCCTCCAGCTCCAGCAGCACCATAAGTGTGCTGCTGTTAGGATTGCACCTTGTTTTTTTTTCTCAGATATTTTTCTTTTCTTTTTTTCATTCCAGTAAATTTGTCACGGAGTGAAATTTAATATAGGGCTCTGAATTTCATCATGAGAAGAATGATAAGGTTAGCGATTATTATCATTTAGGAATGCAAAAAGAAATAATCTTGCTCTCTTCTGTTACCAAGCGTGCGCTTCTCCTTGGTAACAGATACATCCAATGATCCTCCAGTTGATAAAAGGCACATGCACACACATGTCCTTTCCACCTCCACGTTTTTGGGTTGCTACATTTATCTCAGTCTGTTAACAGGGGAAAAAATAAAAAGACCCACCACACGCCCCTCTGTCTCAGCTCCCAGGCCTGCTGCCTTTTTTTTTTTAAATTTTTTTCCCCCCTCAATGTCTTGAATAACACACACAGTGACAAAGTGACAAGCAGAAACTCTAGGAGAATCACACTTCCTTCCTGATGAGCCACCGCGTCTGTATTTGCAGACAGGGATGATGATCTCTGAGCTCTGTCTGACCTGATCTGGTACCATGGGATCAAAGGAAGCTCCTCCTGTCGACTTCAGTGGGTAAAGGATCAGTTGCATAGTTTCAAATTGACTAATCAAGGGTCCATCTTCCCAGAAAATCCACCTATTTAATTCTGTCTATTTATGGATAAGCAATTTGAGTTAGTTGATAGGAGATAAGAGTAATTAGTGATTTGCTTCAGGTGGGATCCTATCTTGGCGAGGTTCCTCCCTCTAACTGGAGGAGTGAATGCTTTCCATCCCACGCGTGACCCCATGTGAGAGTTTCACCCCGAGTAGAGAGCTGATGGACATTCAGCTCTTCTGGGCATATTCTTCTACCAAGCTTTTGTGTGGCCTCCAGCCAAAGGCAGCTGAAACGTGCCCAAACTGGCTCTGCCTCGCAGCTGCTGGCAGCTCTGCCTACATGGAGCCCACCACGGGCGACTGAGCTCTGCCTATGATATGAGGAAGAGAAGAAAAACATCTGCTTACCCGGGCTCCTTTCTTTTGGAGTGCAAGGCTGCGTTGGAGGAGGCTGAGGCTGTCAAGGATGGGAATGGGATTGGGAGCGAAAGTGCAAGGCAGTCTGAGAGTGGGGATCAGTGGCAGCAGGTTATAGAATTGTGGAATGGTTTAGGTTGGAAGGGACCTTGAAGATCATCTTGTTCCATCCCCCCGCCATAGGCGTGGGAAGAGGACATTCTACGTAAGAAATAGTTTACTTCCATGGCAAAGTGCTTCCACAAGAACATCCTAATTCGTGAAGGGCCAGATCCATTGATTAAGCTGTATTTGTACCCTCTGAGAAATCTCAGTGAACCGCGGGACGGATGCTGGAGAGTTAGGTGTGAAAGTGCCAGCAGCATCTGAGCCCAGGTGACACCAACGTTCAGTACAGACCTCCACCTCCAGAGATCCGGTGGCCAAAGTCAGGCTGGAATTCACAGAACTGTCTGAGACATGTCATGAGCAGCTGTATGTGACATTCACTTGTTGTCCTCTCTGCCTACCCACCTCCGTCCCTAAAGTTGTCTTGCCTCAGGGGAAAATCCCCCAAGAGCGACACTGTATTCCTCCAGAGGCTGGAAGAGAAGATCGCTCTGTAAGGGCCTAATGCTGTCCCTCCTTCCCTGGGGTGAGCCAGAAATTGGCCATGTATAATCTTCCAGTCCATTCACTTGCAGAGGAAAAGTTAGTCTGCAGGAGCGTATACTTAATATGCTCGCAAGTGGAGTTCAGCAAAGCAAAATGTGGAAACAAAGCCGTCTCCCATGGACAGCTCGCTGGATCGGTGTAATTGCTGCATTTTTCTAAGCTGATGTTTTATGAGCCTATTATTTCAGGATTAGTGCCTGCATGTATTTTGAAAGTGAAAAAAAAAAAAAAGTTGACATCTGATTTTTGTCTTGTAAAGCCGTTGTTGAGCAAGGGCATTGCCTAAATTTCAATAAAATTGCTATAATAGTGTAAAGTAGGGATCTTGCTACTCATGTCTGGTAGCTGTTTTGGCAGAGTCTGGGCCATTATGGTCACCAAAATATCTAACTTGAGTAAGGGGGGCCCAAACAGGTTTTGATTTGCAGCAGACTTTAGCAACTCCGGAGGAGTTAATGCGCATTGTTGTTTCAGAGAATTGTGTGTTTAGAAATGAAATCTGTGGATTAATGAGTCCCCAGCTAGGCTTGGATCCATCGCACTGACACGATGCATTGTACAGAATCAAGGCAGTGCGGTGCGGATGCCAAAAATCTGCCATTACCTCACCCTGAAATTGCTAGAAGCTAAAGAGGTCTTCAGGAGAGCATCAGATGTTACGTACTTTGGGCCAAATGCTAGTTACTTTACCAGCTGCTTTGAGGGCAGTTTGATGGACGATGAGTCTTGAGCGACCTGTGCGGGATGGGAACCAGCAGCTCCTACGAGCACCTAAGCAGGAGAGGGTGAGCTGAGGTGAGATTTTTAAGCCTTCCCTATGAACGTCTTTAGCATTGGACTTCAAATCAAATCTTTTACGGTACTTCTTGTGGTTTCTGTTGCCATAATGTCAGGCATGTTATTATTTTCTGGGCTTGAAGAATGTTTGGTAGTGCCTGATGCAATTAAGTGTATTTTAGCTGAGCGCAGGAGAATGTTGAACAGATTATTCTTTCCGTTGCTTTTGAATAAAAATATCGCAGCCTATAATCTGACATTTTTGGGTAAAAGGCTGATTTGTCAGATCAGCTCAGGCAGTCTTTATTGCTAATCCTAAGGAAACATAGTTCCTCTATGAAGAGCAAGCCAATTTAGCTTTAAATTGTGGCTCTGAAACCCTGCTGAGTTAGCTGTATTGTTATTCAGCTAACTTTGGGAGCCTGCGCACAGTATATTCTCAGATTGTTTCAAGCCTCTGCTTGGGGCTCAGAAGGGTCAATCGCTGGGCGACGGGAATCGGGCAAAGGCAGATACACAAGATAATGATTTTTTTTTTTTTTTTGCATTTTTAGACAGCTGAGATTATGTTGCCATCACTGCAGTGGGGGTGGTATGAGGCTCCTTTAGTAGACCAGATAGATTGGGTGGACCTCAACAAAATGTCCAAATAACTCCATGTAGTGTTGCTGAGTGACAATGTATTGACGATATATTGAGGCAAAGTTCTTATAAACAAACTTGAACACAGATTACATTTAACTACTTTTAGGTGTAATCTTTAGCACTACAAAAAAGAGTCCTTGAGGCAAATTGAATCATTTGATTTCTCACCCACTAGCAAATTTGTTTATCGTTTTCTTCAGTGCTATTGTTAAGCTTGAAAAAGGTACATTTTTAGTTACAGTAAGTCAAGTGGCTTTCTGCAACAGTGGGAAGCAGTGGCTAAAAATACAACTTACCAGTCTCTTTTCTATGAAGGCAAAGCAATCAATATTAAAAGTGGCTCTTTCACGGAAGAGTTCGTGTTCAGAATGCATTTTGGTATTGAAGAGGTTAAAAAAAAAAAGTAAAAAAACCCCCAAAAACATAAAAAGAAGAGGTGTATTTGGGCACCCTGGAGGTGCTGGAGTGGGCAGGTGGGTAGAGCAGCCTCCCTGCAGAGGGCTGGAAATGCCTCTTTCTCCCCAGCAGTCCCTCCTTGAAGGAGGGAGGTGTTTCCAAAATTATATGCTGGCCTAGCCGGTGCGGTTCTGCGCAGACTTTGTGACCTGCCTTCACCTTCTGAAGGGCTTTTCGATGAGCGTGGCGGGGGGTAGCAGTGCAGCTCCCATCCTTCTCAGTAGGTGTGGGGTGACGTGGGGCTGGAGCTGCCTGCCGGAGGGTCTGTGTGAGATGCAGGTCGCGAGAGTTATGTGACTGCTCTACATCAGCCAAGGCAGCTGTCTCCTGAAATGCCTTCTGTGACTGGGCACGGGCCATCGGTTTGAACAGCATTCACTCACGTGAGAGAATAGAGAAGTCTGTATGTGGTGGTGTCAGCGCCTGACCCTGCACCCCACCTTTCCCACTGCAAGCCCCGTCCCACTGCAGACCCCTCTGTCCTCTTCTTGGGTAGGACGGAGAAGGCAGCTCTCATCTGAGCCCGTCAGGAGCTCTTACCTGAAGCAAAGGCTGGAGCAACTAATTTTGCACCGTTTCTGTCTTCTAGCAACTGTTTGAGAGAATATAAGCAGGTGGACACACAGAAATATGGACAAAAGTGGCTCCAGTAGGCAACAGCAGATGCTACGATGCCATATACGCTTTCACATGTCACAGCGTTAATTTTGCCTCAAGTAAATTCAGTTTTCCAGAGTCTTCTGCCATAGACTTCAGGGAATGGAGACTTGGTGGCCAAAGGCCTTTGGGTGTGTTGGCAGGTGAGATCTTGCCCTCTTAATGTGCTTGGTAACCGTGCCTCCTCCTGCGACATCGCTGCTCTTCATTGGGGAAACCAATGCTTGTGGGGGCTTCCCATTGAGGGCTTCTGCCCCGCGACTTGCCATTGTCAACCTTGTCCATATTCAGGGTTGCCCAAGTAGTAGTACTGGCTTAAAACCTGGGAAATTTGGTATGTACTCATGTACAGTTCTAGGATCTTTACCTTTGTCCGATTTCTGAGTTTTGGGAGCCACAAGAGTGTGTATGTGGGTCACTTTCGCTTTCAAACCCTCTTGCCAACCAAATAGGCCAGGAAGTTACTTCACTGCAAAAAAAGTCGAGTTTCTAAGGTGGTCACTGGTCTTTCAGGTCAACCCTTTCCTCTTTCTCTCCTAAATATCGTGAGGTTGTAGGTAAAACTGTGAAACTTGGGATGTCTTCATTGATTTCAGTGGCTCGGAGGGTAAAGCCACAGAATCTTAATTTGAAATTTGATCTGTCATTTTATGTTCTTCCTCCAGTGATACTTGTATATCAGTTTCCTAGATGTGTTTGTTCTCTCACTGTATGTATTTAATTAGTAGTTCTCTTCTTACCTGTTTGTCTACATACTTTTAAATTTTATCTCTATCCAAAAAAAAAGCTTGTTTTGAAAAGTACTTACTGCAAATCTGCTTGGTGGCCTTCTCCCAGGATGATGTTCACTTTTTTTAACAGCTGCCAAGTGTTGCACCTGGATGATATGCTGTTCTTAACTATATGCACCACGGGAATGAAATGAGGGTGTTTCTGCAGCCTGAATTTTGACATTTCCTTGCTTTTATGTGTTTGCTTTCACAGCTTTGACACTTCTTTTCACAGAGGTTTGTGTGCGTGCGCAGATGCGTAACTTGTATTGAAGCTACCAAACATACGGTTTTGTTAACATATCATACTTCAGAAAAAATATTTGAAGGACAGTGTCATGGTTGCAATGGCATCAGTGAGGACTTGGCTGGAAGCAGGACCAGCAGATAGGTTGCTGTGTCAGCACAGCGTTGCCTCATACATGGTATGGAGCATGCCAGAATTTGAGTGTGAGGGAGAATACATGCCAAACTGATCATCTGCACCTACCTGCTCGGTTTGCTGTATGATCACCTGCTAACAGTTTGTTCATCTGGAGAATAACCAGTTGCATCAGGCGCTTGTTATAGAGCCACTCTCTTTCCTCTAACCCTTTTGTATATTGCATACTTGGCGTAAGCGGGAAGAGGCTTTAATAGGCAGGAGAGCCCGTTCTTTAGTGCAGTCTGTCTTCCAGGAAGATTGCTTTAATATTTTTCAGCTGTAGCTTGCAACTTGCTCTGCAATGAGCTGAATTCATGCGCATGTGGCAGTTGCTTATCCTCTTGAGATAATCTGCTTTCAAGTTTACATTCAGCAGTTTTAAGGATGTCACTAACAGTGCATGTCAGCAATGTGCTGCTTTTTGTATAAACTGTTGTAATTTTAGTGCAATATGCAGGATTGAGGGAAGCCGAGTGTTTAGGTTGAATTCACACCAGGTGTAGTTCTTATGCGACGCTCACATCTGGATCCTTGTATTTGTTCTTGCAAGTTATGTATTTTTAACATATTTAATGATGCGTGAAGCTGTGTGCCTGTTTTTGTAGGCATGTGTTACCTATAAATGTCTTGGTAATTAAAACATGTCTTGCTTTCTACGTCTTGCAGTTTGCCGTACCTCCTTTTGTACCAATGAGCTGGAGAATGCTACCGTAGCTTCATGCGTTTCAGCACATGTAACACATTATGCATCTTTGCCCCTCTGCCCTCGTGAGTTATTTGGTTGCCTGTAGCTGGGAAAATGGAGGTGGTTAATGAGCAGCACTTACTCTTCACAAGGGTATGACCCCAGAAGGAAAGTGGTTGTGAGGTGGTACGACAGATCTTCTGGCGACTGAGTTGTAATAGTCTGCCTAAAACACAAGCTGTTGTGTGGTATGGGCAATAATATAAAATGAGCTGAGAGTTTACATGCTGACTACGCTACTCTTCAAGGTTATGGAGAAGCAAGCATCTAAAACCATTCAAAGCTAATGATTGGGTAGGTATCAGCCAGAAGAACTAGGTGAATTGCTGCACTGGTGCCCACCGAGCAGCATGGAATACAACTGAACCAAAAAGCAAACCAGTACTGGCTTAGATTCAGACCTTCTCGAGTACTCTTCTGCTTGCCATGTAGCCACACTTTGCATTACTTCAGCTCCAGATTGGCTTAGCTGTTATTTTTAGATAAACTGAGGCGCCAAAAACCCGAACCTCTCCATTCTGCGGATCTGTGAAGCTGCTTCTGCTGTACTTCCTGATGAGTTTTCTGATGGCTGATCTCCTGGAGGGTATGAATCTAGTGGTGCCAGTGTCTTCAGTGTGGCTGATGGGGGTTGTGCTGATGAAGAGAACCGGGTAGGTTTTTCCAGTAAGCTTTACTGGAGTAAGAGAGAGGCCACCACCCCAAGCACAGCTCTGGGGCCCACGCGAGGGCGGAGGTACCTGTTTCTCAGCTGATAAGGTGAATCCCTGCAAAACCAGTGTGTTGATCAGCGTTTAGGATCGGAGCTTGCAGGGAGCGGGATCAAACCCTCATCCTCATGGAAAGTGTCTGGGAGGAGTTACCATGGTCCCCCAGGGGGACCACCTGCAAAAATTAGTCAGGGCAGCACCAGCTTTCTGTTCAAGTTTCCTTTTCTGTCAGTGTTTTGCTCTGCTATTGCACTGCTGAGCTTTAGGTCCAGCACCTCTAACGCGAAGCCCAAGAGGGCTGCTCTTGTTTGCAGCACAAGATCAGTGCTACTAGTGTGATGAGAAAAATCATTGCAACAAAGAGAACTAAAAAAAGATAAGTTATGTATATTAAAGTTCCTTTGCTCTCTGCTTGTTGTGGAAGATTGTCATGGAAACATTTTTTTCAGAGAATAAATTTATTTTCTGTGAATAATGTCCACAGAGCTAAGGGAGAGAACATATTATTTATATATAAAAACTTTATTGGAGGCACCTTTTTCTTGGCTTCCAGCAGTTGTAAATGTTTTATCTACAGTGTTTTAAATCACTACAAAGGAGG